CATATTCTACAATAGATAGTGGTATGCCAGGACATGACACCAGGTGCACCAAAAGTTCATCAATATTTCTGTGGAGAACACTGGGGTCTCTTATACCTTTGTTGTATTCGCCACGTTTCTTTTCAAGTTGTGGGATACCACAACAATCTGGGTGCTTCTTTCTTAAATGCTTGAGCACATTTGTTGTAGTAAAACTGCTGCCACATGCGTATTTCGCTTTACAATGTTGACACTCAAACTTGTATATACCTTGAACCATGTCAATTTTTTTCTTTTGTGTTGTCTTTTGCCAGTCTTTTGATCATATTCATATACATCCGTTTCAGTGTATGTCTTGATTGTTTCTTCTTTCTCACCATCTTCTCCATTCGTTATTTGAACAACGACAAGTTTACAATTACTCCAAATTACTATGTGTTCAATTGATATTTCTTCAGACATTGTTTGTTATTTTATTTTATTTTTTTATTTAAATATGATTGTATTTAACTACCACAATTGATTATTTGATTGTTTTTGACTTAAAACATTTTATTTGTAACATTTTGTGGTTTGTTTTTTTTTGATTTGTTTTAAAAACAAAAAATAAACTCAAAATATTATTTGAAAACGACTTGATGTTTTGGTGTAAAAATACATTCGAAATAAAAAACAAAAGTTAACAATCAACCAAACAACAATTTGAAAATTACTTAATAACTTTCATGCTCGAACAATTTTTTAAATAGAATGGGTGTTTTTTAAAGTTTGTAAATGACTTCTAAGTTTACTAAAAAATAACAATTACATTTAAATAATATATTAATAATACACAATAATAAACAATTTAATCCACAATATTATGTTAATGTGTTATTAAATTAAACAATAAACGTTTCATTGTAAATATTGTTATTCCAAAAGTAATAAATACTAAAAATGATCATTTTCGAATCATTTAATAATATTATTGTTTTCTTTTTGATATAAATTATCGGTGTATTCGTTATAATAATTAATTAATTGAATAAATAACAATTATTAATTATAATTTAATTATTATTGAAATTATTGTTGAAACATTACCCATATTTAATATCGCATTTATGTACATCAATTTACTGATTATTGATGTAAATTAATCTATGTATCTTCATTATATTTTGTTGTATGCTTTAGGCACAAATCATTGTCCATCATGTTAAATTTATTTAAAATTAGTTGTTTTAAAAATTATTATTATTAAACAAAATGTAAAATTACAAACAAAAACAAATGCTAAACATAGATATTAAACAATGGTTAAAATCAAACATTTATTGACAATAACATCTATTTTATTAATAATATTTTAAAAATCAAGTATCAATACAAATATTTGAGTTGATAAAGTGTTTAATATTACATTCATTTTTGAAATTGATTTTAAATATACTGTTGATTATTCACACATTAAAATTATTTTGTTTTAATATCGTTCTAAAATTTTGCTATTACATCGGTTGTGATTTCATTTTTTGACTATAGTCAGTATAACAACGTTATGTGTTCAGAAAAATTATCTTATTTTAATTAAATAGTCGTATTTATGTTTAAAATAATGAAAATTGGGTAAAAACTCAAAAATGTGAAAAACTAAAAGAATTCAATGGGTTTTTAAAATAATTTACAGAAATTATCCACTCAGTTTAGTCCAAAAGATACTGGCTAATTTTAAAGCAAATAACTTTGGTTGAGTGACTATAGTATCAAAGTTCATGAACATATTTATTTGTATTTTGTGTTTTCAAAGTGTAAATTCAAACAAAATGTTTACTCTTAAACTGACTTTTGTTTAGTCATATTTGATGTAATTGATTTTTGATACAACAAAAAATATTCTATTGTTCAAAACTGTTTTGGTGCCTCGTGGTGATATATAACATAAATTTAACTTATGTTCTTTATAAAATCGTTGTTGTTGTCAGAAAAGGCAAAACTGATAAACATAATATCAATATTTATACACCGTTTTAAATTAAAAACAACTGAAAGCAATAATTAACACCAAATTGATTAACATCATTTAAATGAATATAAAAACAATTAAAATAAAATAACATAAAACAATATATTTTAATTATTGTTAAATGTAATAAGTTAAAATATCATTATTATTTGAGGTTCGATAAATAATCAAATTGGAAAATAAATATTATTTGTAAATGTCACATTTTTCTTTGTATTATTTAAAAATAATATACCGATTAGTACATTAAACATATTAACACAATGTAACTTATCATGTGCAAATATCTCAAAAAATATTTGTTACACAAATTGTAATTAATTGAGAAATTTTTAATCTATATTCCAAAGACAAAACAAAAATATTTCAAACATTTAATAATAACACTTACTATTACAACTCACACCCAATTAATATAATGATAAATATCTGTCTCGACATATCATAAACCAATATTTGTGATTACTTCGAAGTTAACTTTTTAATTTATTTCCTGTTGTTCAGTATGTAATTTCAAACGTTATGTTGTATACTTATCAATTTATTATATACAAGTTACAAAATCAAAAAAATGCACATTTTGTATGTATTTTGACACTGTATTTTTTGTTTGTACATTTTAATTATATTGTTAATTTATTGAATTTGAGTTTTGTTGTTTTCAAATTTGTTATAAAATTTACAACTTAATCAATATCAAGTTAGTCTTATTTTGTAAAATATAAAACAATTCCAATGTTATTTAAAATTCTACTTTATAAAATAAAAATATCTAAAACAAACACAATAAATATCTTTATTAAACACCATGTCTATTTTAATAATTAAACAATTTGACTTGACAAATTTTGATATCAATGTTTAAAATTGATTTGTGTAAAAACCGAAGAATAAACAATTTATTAAAATTTATTCAATTTAAGATGTTCGTTTTTGAACAATTTATTGATATTGAAAAAATACCAATAAATTATTTCAAAATAAAAAAACGAAAGATTTTTTAAATGAGTAAAAACAAATTATATTACAAATAATATTCATAATTTTTTGTGTATTTCTAATGAACAATTATCAAAAATCATTTTTATTATATGAAACTTTTAAATCTTTATTTTTATTTTTAGTTTTATTGAATAAATAAATGAAACCGATAATTATCAACATTGGTTTCTTAATTAATTATAGCAGAAATTGTGGTATTGTAACGTAAGGATTAACAAAAGAAATAAACATTTTGGTTATAAAAAAATGACGTGGGTAATTGGAATTGTAATTTAAAAAACTATGATAATCAACTTAATGATAAAACGTTTATTGTGTAATATATATATATATATAAAACAAATTCATTTTATTCATCGATTGAAAAAACATAAAGTAAACATACAAAATGTTGTATATATTTAGCATTTGATTGTAATTTTTATTAAAATGTGAATATTTATAAAAATTTTTCAAAATACCACTATATTAAAGTTTCATTTATATTTAAAGTTTTTGATTTTTTACATAAATTTTGTTTAAACGTTATAAATGTTATTTAATCAACCAGACAACGTTTAAAACATCATTGAATAGTTGAATTCAATGTCAATAAATTGCATTTTGGATATTATTAATTGTTTAAAAACAAAATGGGTATTATAAAAATCCAATTTGGTTTAAAAATCAACAATTTATTCGAAATGATTATTATAATATTATATAAAAACAAACAGAGTATTTATTTATATTAACATAATATGATACTAAGAAAAAACAGATGCTTGAAAAAGTTATGTGTAAATTAAAAATTGATTATTTTTATTATTTTGATTTGATTCTTATTGGTGTATAATTATTAAATTTGTTTAACGTTTTAAAATGAACAATAATTAAAAACATTTAAGTACGGTTTGTGACTGTACAAGTTTTTTATGATTGGACAAATATTATTCAACTGTTTTTTGAATAATTTAATTTTTTTTACTATTTTAATATTAAAATAAAGTTGTTATTTTTTTAGTTTGCTTATTAATAAATTTTTAATATAATACTGGTGATTCCAGAATCGGTTCGGGAACCGTCGTGTTTTGGAATCAAAAGTTTGGGAATATTTTTTTTATGAAGTTCGGGAACTAGTGTGTTCGGGAACTTATTGGTTCGGGAACACACCAATTTTAAGTTTGGGAATCAGGATGTTCCCGAACCGAGGTTAAAAATATTCCCGAATATTTTTTGATTCCGGAATCGGTTCGGGAATTTGATAAAAAAAATAAAATTCCCCAAATAATTTCCTGGAATATTCGGGGAGTGTTTCGACAACACTAATAAAAACGACTTTAAAAAAATAAAAAAGGTTTACCAAAATAAATAAAGTTTCCAGACTGACTTTAATGTTTTTGAAATAATTCAATATGTATTTAAAATTATAGCAATAAATAATATATTTTACTATAATTTGCAACCATATTAGACTTTTTTTCGCCAACTCTATCAATATTTTTTTATTTAAGTAAGTTTCAAACATTCTAAGGTAGACAATGAACGGTTTTATATTTTTTGACGAAATAAGTATAAAAAAAATAGTAAAAATTACTAAAACAATTTAATGAATTTTTTAGAATAACTTCCTGAAATATTTTTTATTTCATTTCCAAAAAGTAATTTGATAATGTAAAAAGACTAACTATATTTATATTATAAAAAATATAAAAAAAACTATAAAGTGAATAAATCATAATTTCGTCTTCTTAAATTATAATGATTCTATTACTCTTTAAAATAAAAATAATAATTATTTAAAATAGTAAACCAGAAAGTATTAGTTAAACAATTAAAATGATAACTAAAATGTTATAGAAAAATATATAAATAAAATAAATTAATATTGATAAAATAAGGGTTTATAATAAAATATGAAAAAACTATAGTAACAATATAGAAAGAACATAGTGGGAGAGTACAGGCAAAACATTTTGGAAAACACGAATGAAGAAAAAAAGCAATCCAAACTTAAAAAAGAATATAAAAGATGTCGCAATACAATATTAACATTGTAATGTTTGTTAGTGTTTCTTTTCAACATATATGAATTACCATAACACATAGGCTTGGCCAGGGATCTGTTGGGAAGAGTGCGATTACTCTACAACTTATAAGTAGTAAATTTGTGATGACATACTCCCCCACTATAGAAGAGTCGTTCAAGACTACTTTAATGGTCGATGACAAAATGATAGCGGTGACTGTTACAGACACGTCTGGTTTGTTTAATACTACTGTTATTATAAATGTATTGTTTCCTTTCTGATGTACATTAGAGTTTAAGTTACTAGAAATAACTATAACATATTTATTATTAACAATAAGGTCAGGAAGAGTACAATGCTTTATCGGAGTATTATGTTTGTTTCGAATTATTAATAACTATTATTATTATAATTAATAATAATAAGTAACCAAACAACACAAGTGATAAAGACAAAACAACTTAACAACGACTGTGTGTTCAATTCAAAAATGAGACTTCCATTGTGTTACGTATTTGTATATAACAAATGAGAAAAAAAGAAATAACAATAAAGATGAGAAAGGGAGATGGATTTGTCGTTGTGTATTCTATAGTCATCGAATCCACCTTTGACAAAGTCGACGACATCCACAAACAACTCCAAGCAGTCTTCGAAAACGACCCAGACCACGTCCCAATCATATTAGTTGGTAACAAGTGTGATCTTGGAAACGAACGTACAGTACCCACAGCAAAAGGAAAAGCTCTTGCTGACTCGTGGAACGCACTGTTCATAGAAAGCTCCGCTAAAGACAACATCAACATCAAAGAGCTCTA